TGTGCGTGTGTGTGTGTGTATTTGTATGTGTGTGTGTGTGTCTGTGTGTGTTTGTGTGCGTGTGTGTGTGTGTATTTGTATGTGTGTGTCTGTGTGTGTGTGTGTTTGTGTGCGTGTGTGTGTGTGTGTGTGTGTGCGCGCACATTGCACCCTGCTTCCTTAGCCTTGGCACACTCCTGCCTGCACACCACCCCACCCGTCTCCGCCTGAGAGTACGTGTGTGAGCGCGTGCCCGGGAATGCTGGGATACTCCCCGGTGACGCCGCCGGCTGCGCAGAGATGTGCCTCTTAAGGACACGGTTCAGTGGAGTGTCAGGCAGTATCTGTCCTGCCACAGATGGCCGGCCGGCCGGCCGGCTTCTCCCTGGAGAGTGAGCTGTCTGTCGTCAGGAGTGGCTGAGTGTGCCTGTGTGTCTGCGTGACTCTGTGTGTATACCTATGACTCTGTGTGTGACTCTGTGTGTGACTCTGTGTGTGTATCTATGACTCTATGTGTGCATGTGAGGGGGGAGGGTGTCCGTGGAGACTGCTCGCGGGGACCCAGGGCCCTGATGTCCTCTCCCCTTCTAGTTGCTAAGTAACAGACCACCGTCACAGCACCCATGATGACACCCTGCATGGGCCAGACATGCAGGACAGTGGCAGGGGGCTCAGAGACCTGAATCTGTCTCCCATCTGTGTACATGGGGCTGCAGCTCCGTGTCAGTGTGCCCCCCCCCCCAGGGGCTGGAGAGCTGGGGACAGCAGCTATGCTCACATCCCGTGTCCTGCCACTCCTCTGATGCGAACGTCCCTCTGTCTCTCGCCAGGTTCTTCCTAAAGTTCTTCTTGAAATGCAACCAGAACTGCCTGAAGAACGCAGGGAACCCGAGGGACATGCGGCGCTTCCAGGTGAGGCCCCCCCCCCCCCCTCGGTGGAAAATCCCTTTCATTTGTTCGCTGGCATCGAGGTCACTCAAGGTCAGAGGCAAGCTGGCGCACAGACACGGGCGCACGCGTGGCACACGGCGAGCACGCGGTGTGCGTGATTTACCCGTGTTTGGGGGCAGAGGCCGAGCCCGTGTGGGGGCACCACTCGCTATGACAGCTGACAGAACACATCCATGTGCTGCTAATTTAAGCGGCACTAATTTGCATATATGAGTACTTGTACTTGTAGTCACCCCCCCATCCCAACACGGGGGCAAGGGGAGCAAGTCTGTGCTCTGAGGTATAATCTCAGCCCCCCTATCAAACAAACCTTCATCTCCTCAGGGAGCAGAACTGCTTGCCTTCTTCTTATTGGCTGCATGGCTACACATACAGATTAACCCTAGGGCATTATGGGAGATAAGGCTCACTCACCGCGATGCGAAAACATAGGCGGTCACACTGCCTCTCACTCTACTTTTCTTAGACATGCTGATCATAACAGTATAACTCTGTATCAGTGAAAGCTAGGAAACATTCTGTGCAGTGGAGGTATGTGTATTGTAAATAGTTCTATGAGTGATGTAGGAGGTCAGTCTCTCAGAGAGCAGCTATATAGTTTAAAAGGAGTCTGCATATGAGCAGGTTGCAGTGATGGTTTTAATGATGGCCGTCGTGGGTGTGTGGTATACTCTGACAGCTGCCCATCTCCGGCCCCTAATTGCCACTATTAATCGCAGTGTGACACCAGTTAACAGGTAATATTTGATCAGCTTTAATTGGTGGTACAATTAATCTGCGGTTTTAATTGCCGGGGAGACAGGAGTCGGAATGAACTGGGAGTGGAAAAGGTGTGTGTATGGCGAGGCGGGGGGGGGGTGCTTGTGGAAAATCCAGTACAAATGTCAGGCTTTGCAGCAAAGCTGATGTCATTCATGAGTGTTAACTTAATTGGGAGTGACTCCCTCCTAACAGAACACGATGTTGGTGAGCACGCGTGTGTGAGCTGCCTGGCACGTGCGAGTGGATGGGAGCCCGACCCCAAAACAACACCAGGGGCACTGTCAGGATGGAGGGAGGGAGAGAGAGAGAGAGAGAAGGGGAGACAGAAACTGGACAGATGGAGAACAGGGAGGTGTGCTGTCTTCATTCAGCCATATTTGTTTTGTTAAGAAATAAGATGTTATTTCTCAGTGCATTTAAAAAATCTAATGAAAGAATGAAAAGCGAAGAAAGACAGAAAGCAGGAGAATGAGGCGTGTGTCTCTCTGGGAGCTGCAGGGTGGCCTCTGCTAAGTTTCGTCCAGCACTTCCCCTCTCAGACTCCCAGAGCCTTGGGGGCGCGGGGGACGGTGCGGGGGCGTGGGCAAGAATGACAGGGCGCGGGGACGTGGGCAAGAATGACGGGGCGCGGGGGCGTGGGCAAGAATGACGGGCGAGAATGACGGGGCGCGGGGGACGGCGCGGGGGCGTGGGCAAGAATGACGGGGCGCGGGGACGGCGCGGGGGCGTGGGCAAGAATGACGGGGCGCGGGGGACGGCACGGGGGCGTGGGCAAGAATGACGGGGCGCAAACAACAAAGCGACCCACTTAATTAGCACAAATGAATGGTCGCGTCGCGTTTGTGGAATCTGTGCTGGGACTCTCAGGAAGTGTGCATCCGGCGAGTGTTTTGATGGGGGGTGGGGGGTCGCTGTTATGATATTTGTTTACCAGATTTGTGGAAAGAACATGAGTTCTGAACTGGGAGGGGGTAATGGTGAGGGCCTGGTTTAGGGTGTTGAGGTTATTATATGCACCTCAGGATATGGACACACACACACACACATACACACACATAAGCGGGTGTGTGGTTCAGAATAAGTTTAGGATGTAAACTGATCCTTTGTAAAGGATATCAAAACCCCCCAAACATTCCGGAAGATCTAACGCTTTACCGCACGGGTTACCTGTGACATTTGTCCCACTCATAATTTCCACATAAAGTACCAGGATTTCATGCATAAGAAGACGGTGCCCTGCTTAACTCAGCACGCCGTCCCCCAACAGGTGGTGGTGTCCACTACGGTAAACGTGGATGGTCACGTCCTGGCTGTGTCCGACAACATGTTTGTGCACAACAACTCCAAGCACGGCCGGAGAGCACGCCGGCTTGACCCCTCGGAGGGGACGCCGTCGTACCTGGACCACGGTAGGCATGTCGCACTGTCCTCTCAGTCCCTGTCTGTCAGTCAGATTGTCTCTCTGAGTGTCAGAGTGTTTGTCTTGTGTCTGACTTGTCTGCCTGTCTGTCTATCCATCTGTCTTTCAATCTGTGTCCCTGTCTTTCTCTATCTGTCCGTCTGTCTATCCATTTGTATGACTGTCTTTCTGCCTGTCTGTCTGTCTATCCATCTGTCTTTCAATCTGTGTCCCTGTCTTTCTCTATCTGTCCGTCTGTCTATCCATTTGTATGACTGTCTTTCTGCCTGTCTGTCTGTCTATCCATCTGTCTTTCAATCTGTGTCCCTGTCTTTCTCTATCTGTCCGTCTGTCTATCCATTTGTATGACTGTCTTTCTGCCTGTCTGTCTGTCTATCCATCTGTCTTTCAATCTGTGTCCCTGTCTTTCTCTATCTGTCCGTCTGTCTATCCATTTGTATGACTGTCTTTCTGCCTGTCTGTCTGTCTATCCATCTGTCTTTCAATCTGTGTCCCTGTCTTTCTCTATCTGTCCGTCTGTCTATCCATTTGTATGACTGTCTTTCTGCCTGTCTGTCTGTCTATCCATCTGTCTTTCAATCTGTGTCCCTGTCTTTCTCTATCTGTCCGTCTGTCTATCCATTTGTATGACTGTCTTTCTGCCTGTCTGTCTGTCTATCCATCTGTCTTTCAATCTGTGTCCCTGTCTTTCTCTATCTGTCCGTCTGTCTATCCATTTGTATGACTGTCTTTCTGCCTGTCTGTCTGTCTATCCATCTGTCTTTCAATCTGTGTCCCTGTCTTTCTCTATCTGTCCGTCTGTCTATCCATTTGTATGACTGTCTTTCTGCCTGTCTGTCTGTCTATCCATCTGTCTTTCAATCTGTGTCCCTGTCTTTCTCTATCTGTCCGTCTGTCTATCCATTTGTATGACTGTCTTTCTGCCTGTCTGTCTGTCTATCCATCTGTCTTTCAATCTGTGTCCCTGTCTTTCTCTATCTGTCCGTCTGTCTATCCATTTGTATGACTGTCTTTCTGCCTGTCTGTCTGTCTATCCATCTGTCTTTCAATCTGTGTCCCTGTCTTTCTCTATCTGTCCGTCTGTCTATCCATTTGTATGACTGTCTTTCTGCCTGTCTGTCTGTCTATCCATCTGTCTTTCAATCTGTGTCCCTGTCTTTCTCTATCTGTCCGTCTGTCTATCCATTTGTATGACTGTCTTTCTGCCTGTCTGTCTGTCTATCCATCTGTCTTTCAATCTGTGTCCCTGTCTTTCTCTATCTGTCCGTCTGTCTATCCATTTGTATGACTGTCTTTCTGCCTGTCTGTCTGTCTATCCATCTGTCTTTCAATCTGTGTCCCTGTCTTTCTCTATCTGTCCGTCTGTCTATCCATTTGTATGACTGTCTTTCTGCCTGTCTGTCTGTCTATCCATCTGTCTTTCAATCTGTGTCCCTGTCTTTCTCTATCTGTCCGTCTGTCTATCCATTTGTATGACTGTCTTTCTGCCTGTCTGTCTGTCTATCCATCTGTCTTTCAATCTGTGTCCCTGTCTTTCTCTATCTGTCCGTCTGTCTATCCATTTGTATGACTGTCTTTCTGCCTGTCTGTCTGTCTATCCATCTGTCTTTCAATCTGTGTCCCTGTCTTTCTCTATCTGTCCGTCTGTCTATCCATTTGTATGACTGTCTTTCTGCCTGTCTGTCTGTCTATCCATCTGTCTTTCAATCTGTGTCCCTGTCTTTCTCTATCTGTCCGTCTGTCTATCCATTTGTATGACTGTCTTTCTGCCTGTCTGTCTGTCTATCCATCTGTCTTTCAATCTGTGTCCCTGTCTTTCTCTATCTGTCCGTCTGTCTATCCATTTGTATGACTGTCTTTCTGCCTGTCTGTCTGTCTATCCATCTGTCTTTCAATCTGTGTCCCTGTCTTTCTCTATCTGTCCGTCTGTCTATCCATTTGTATGACTGTCTTTCTGCCTGTCTGTCTGTCTATCCATCTGTCTTTCAATCTGTGTCCCTGTCTTTCTCTATCTGTCCGTCTGTCTATCCATTTGTATGACTGTCTTTCTGCCTGTCTGTCTGTCTATCCATCTGTCTTTCAATCTGTGTCCCTGTCTTTCTCTATCTGTCCGTCTGTCTATCCATTTGTATGACTGTCTTTCTGCCTGTCTGTCTGTCTATCCATCTGTCTTTCAATCTGTGTCCCTGTCTTTCTCTATCTGTCCGTCTGTCTATCCATTTGTATGACTGTCTTTCTGCCTGTCTGTCTGTCTATCCATCTGTCTTTCAATCTGTGTCCCTGTCTTTCTCTATCTGTCCGTCTGTCTATCCATTTGTATGACTGTCTTTCTGCCTGTCTGTCTGTCTATCCATCTGTCTTTCAATCTGTGTCCCTGTCTTTCTCTATCTGTCCGTCTGTCTATCCATTTGTATGACTGTCTTTCTGCCTGTCTGTCTGTCTATCCATCTGTCTTTCAATCTGTGTCCCTGTCTTTCTCTATCTGTCCGTCTGTCTATCCATTTGTATGACTGTCTTTCTGCCTGTCTGTCTGTCTATCCATCTGTCTTTCAATCTGTGTCCCTGTCTTTCTCTATCTGTCCGTCTGTCTATCCATTTGTATGACTGTCTTTCTGCCTGTCTGTCTGTCTATCCATCTGTCTTTCAATCTGTGTCCCTGTCTTTCTCTATCTGTCCGTCTGTCTATCCATTTGTATGACTGTCTTTCTGCCTGTCTGTCTGTCTATCCATCTGTCTTTCAATCTGTGTCCCTGTCTTTCTCTATCTGTCCGTCTGTCTATCCATTTGTATGACTGTCTTTCTGCCTGTCTGTCTGTCTATCCATCTGTCTTTCAATCTGTGTCCCTGTCTTTCTCTATCTGTCCGTCTGTCTATCCATTTGTATGACTGTCTTTCTGCCTGTCTGTCTGTCTATCCATCTGTCTTTCAATCTGTGTCCCTGTCTTTCTCTATCTGTCCGTCTGTCTATCCATTTGTATGACTGTCTTTCTGCCTGTCTGTCTGTCTATCCATCTGTCTTTCAATCTGTGTCCCTGTCTTTCTCTATCTGTCCGTCTGTCTATCCATTTGTATGACTGTCTTTCTGCCTGTCTGTCTGTCTATCCATCTGTCTTTCAATCTGTGTCCCTGTCTTTCTCTATCTGTCCGTCTGTCTATCCATTTGTATGACTGTCTTTCTGCCTGTCTGTCTGTCTATCCATCTGTCTTTCAATCTGTGTCCCTGTCTTTCTCTATCTGTCCGTCTGTCTATCCATTTGTATGACTGTCTTTCTGCCTGTCTGTCTGTCTATCCATCTGTCTTTCAATCTGTGTCCCTGTCTTTCTCTATCTGTCCGTCTGTCTATCCATTTGTATGACTGTCTTTCTGCCTGTCTGTCTGTCTATCCATCTGTCTTTCAATCTGTGTCCCTGTCTTTCTCTATCTGTCCGTCTGTCTATCCATTTGTATGACTGTCTTTCTGCCTGTCTGTCTGTCTATCCATCTGTCTTTCAATCTGTGTCCCTGTCTTTCTCTATCTGTCCGTCTGTCTATCCATTTGTATGACTGTCTTTCTGCCTGTCTGTCTGTCTATCCATCTGTCTTTCAATCTGTGTCCCTGTCTTTCTCTATCTGTCCGTCTGTCTATCCATTTGTATGACTGTCTTTCTGCCTGTCTGTCTGTCTATCCATCTGTCTTTCAATCTGTGTCCCTGTCTTTCTCTATCTGTCCGTCTGTCTATCCATTTGTATGACTGTCTTTCTGCCTGTCTGTCTGTCTATCCATCTGTCTTTCAATCTGTGTCCCTGTCTTTCTCTATCTGTCCGTCTGTCTATCCATTTGTATGACTGTCTTTCTGCCTGTCTGTCTGTCTATCCATCTGTCTTTCAATCTGTGTCCCTGTCTTTCTCTATCTGTCCGTCTGTCTATCCATTTGTATGACTGTCTTTCTGCCTGTCTGTCTGTCTATCCATCTGTCTTTCAATCTGTGTCCCTGTCTTTCTCTATCTGTCCGTCTGTCTATCCATTTGTATGACTGTCTTTCTGCCTGTCTGTCTGTCTATCCATCTGTCTTTCAATCTGTGTCCCTGTCTTTCTCTATCTGTCCGTCTGTCTATCCATTTGTATGACTGTCTTTCTGCCTGTCTGTCTGTCTATCCATCTGTCTTTCAATCTGTGTCCCTGTCTTTCTCTATCTGTCCGTCTGTCTATCCATTTGTATGACTGTCTTTCTGCCTGTCTGTCTGTCTATCCATCTGTCTTTCAATCTGTGTCCCTGTCTTTCTCTATCTGTCCGTCTGTCTATCCATTTGTATGACTGTCTTTCTGCCTGTCTGTCTGTCTATCCATCTGTCTTTCAATCTGTGTCCCTGTCTTTCTCTATCTGTCCGTCTGTCTATCCATTTGTATGACTGTCTTTCTGCCTGTCTGTCTGTCTATCCATCTGTCTTTCAATCTGTGTCCCTGTCTTTCTCTATCTGTCCGTCTGTCTATCCATTTGTATGACTGTCTTTCTGCCTGTCTGTCTGTCTATCCATCTGTCTTTCAATCTGTGTCCCTGTCTTTCTCTATCTGTCCGTCTGTCTATCCATTTGTATGACTGTCTTTCTGCCTGTCTGTCTGTCTATCCATCTGTCTTTCAATCTGTGTCCCTGTCTTTCTCTATCTGTCCGTCTGTCTATCCATTTGTATGACTGTCTTTCTGCCTGTCTGTCTGTCTATCCATCTGTCTTTCTGTCTGTCTCCCCATGAAGCTGAGAGCTAGTAGTAAGGCCTCCTCTTTCAGTCCCTGGGTATCAGAGAAGGATCTCAGGGCCTCAGGAAATGGGGGGACAGCGTGATGTCCAGACGCCGAGGCTTGGTGGTATGTCTTTCATCCCCCCCACCCCCGGCAACCCAACCATAGCCAGATCTGGGCTCGGCCCGGAGTCAGCGTCCCACTTCACCGGGGGAAAGCACGGGAGACAGACGGCCCCCCCATCTCACAGATAATATCTCGTTAAACGGCTGG